GGACGAAAACTGTTTCCCCCTAATCATGCTTTATGTAATACTAATATGTTTGTGGGTCATCTAAAAATTTTGTCGCTAAATCCAAACTTATTACAGTCCTAAAAGCCGGCGAAGACGAAATCACCGTGACATGGTCACTCAACTCCACTTTCCCAGCCGGCGTCGATTCTTCCTACAAAACGGTGACAATCAAACTCTGCTATGCACCAATAAGTCAGAAAGATCGAGGATGGAGAAAAACGGTTGATAATTTAGTAAAGGACAAAACATGCCAGCACAAGATTGTTGCTAATAAGCCGTACATCTTTCCGTCTAACAACACTTTTACGTCGACAGTGCTGAGAGATGTGCCGACAGCTACTTATTTTATAAGGGCCTATGCGCAAAACTCGGAAGGTGATGAGGTGGCGTATGGCCAGACAACGGATTCTCACAAGGCCGTTAACTTGTTCGAGATTCAAGCGATCACGGGGCGACATGTGTCGCTTGATATTGCGTCGATTTGCTTCTCTGCTTTCTCGATTGTGTCTTTGTTCGGATTCTTCTTCCTGGAAAAGAGAAAGTCCAAGGCATCCGAATCAAAGTGATATATAGGTTATTTTTTTGTTTTATTTTTTATTTTTTTTTAAATGAAGGAACACGCTGTCAATCATATAAGTTATATGCGCTAAGTAATTATCAAAGTTAATTTAGGAAAAATATTTGGCTATGTGACTCGGTCATCGATGTCAAAAAGTACCCCGTTAGTATTAGGTCCCCTGTGCGATGCAAACAGGTGGACTATTAGTTTGTACTTATGTTATGAAGTTAAGAGAACTACTCTTATTTATTAGGGTTAATTATAGTCATCCCAGAGGTAAGGTAAATTACAAAATAACCTTTTTTATTTGTATAATTACAACTACCCCTAAACTATGTATTGTCTTACACGTCTATTCTTACGATGTTAAATTTACCTAGGGTTGTTCATTCGGTCGGTAAACCGATCGAATCGAACCGGGCGAAAATTCAGTACATGCCGATTACCGAACCGTTAATTCGGTGTGATATTCACTTTTTATTTTTATTTTATATATGTATATTATTATTTAAACTAAAACTAATTATAAAAAAAATAAAAATAAAATCATTTTTCTAAAATATTTTAAATAAAAATTTTGTAATTCGGTTATTTATCGAACCGAACGCTAAACGGAATAAAATTTTGGGGTACCGAAATTTCGGTTCAATTTTACCGCATCAACGCCCCTAAATTTACTAACTGGAGGGATTGTTTCGTAAGATATGACATAGCTGAGGGGTGCTTGTAATTATGCAAACAGTAGAGTGTTTTTCGTAATTTGACTTTACCTTGGTGGGGTGGCGTTAATTTAGAATTACTACACTCTTATTTATGAGGGAAAATTAGTAATAATCCCCTCATCTAGAAAATGTAGTTAAGGAAAACCCTCCACCTAAAAATAATTAGAGAAAACCCCTTTTGTTGTTAGTTTGGATAATTAATAAATGTAACCCGCCAATTATACCCTTACTCTTAACCCTAAATTTTGACATATCATATTCCGCCGTTGTTATTTCTTTTCTTTTCATTTTCTCTCTTCTCTTCTCTCTGCTTTCTGCTTTCTGCTCTCTTCTCTCGTTCTTTCTTCTTCTTCTCTTCTCGATCAGAATTCGACCAACGCCGTTAAATACTGCTCCGACAAACATTGGCCGACATATTGGGTGAAGAACTGCTGCAACCATCACAATTGGACATATTGGGGGTGGAGCTCTGGCCGCGAAGGCTGGCGACGACGAGGTTTCGACTCGACGATATGAAGACCCCGTCAAACAAGCTGTTGCCGATGCGGTTTGTTTTCTTAAACCGATTGATTTGTTTTTATTTTAAATTCATCATTTCCATTAAAATTTGATGGAGTAATTAATTACTATTTGTTTTATTATAATTTTATCTGTCGAAGAAATCACGTTTCCCAAACAACACGCATACTATTTGAGGATTTTCTACAACAGCATGAATAGTGTGGTGTGACGGCGGTGTGGTGACGATGGGGAGACAAATTTAGGGGTTTTTGGTGGATCGGGCGGATAACAGCGCATATAGAGAAATTCGCGCAGGCTGGAATTTTAATCGACTATGTACATGTTCAATAGTCGATTAACCTAATCGACTATGCTCTGGTAGTCGATTAAGGTTGATCAACACCAGTTTTTTTTTTTTTTTGGTTTATTGATTCCAATTGTATAAATCAATTATAATGTTGGTATATTTTTTATTTTTGTTAAATGTAGTTGATTTTGCATTTTTTTGCAGTTGTGATTTGTAATTTTTATTAGCAGATTCTTAATCAACTATGCTCTGGTAGTAGATTAAGGTTGATCGACTCCCATTTTTTTTCTTTTTTGATTTTTTTGTTTATTGATTCCAATTGTATAAATCAATTATAATGTTCTTATATTTTTTGTTTTTGTAAAATATAGTTGATTTTGCAGTTTTTATTTGTTATTTTTAGTAGCAAACTCTTAATTGACTATACTTCATCATAGTCAATTAATATACTGATATAGAAAAAAAAATTAAAAAACAAAAAAAAAAATTAAAGAATTTCCTTAATCGACTATGAAACATAGTCGATTAAGGCTAATCGACTATACTTCATAGTCGAATAAGAAAACTGATACAAAAAAGAAGGAAAAAAAAGGAAGAAAAAAAAAACTGGAAAAAAAAAATTGTTAAGCGCGTGACCCAGTGATGATGTGGCAGGCAGGGACAAAGCTGGAAAACATAATGGCTCAAAATGAGTGTGGACTTTTCTCAAATGGAGAGAAATATTTTGGACCTCTCTCTATTAAAACAAGTAATGAGGGGGTTTACTCAAAGATGCCCTATTTATGATCATGTGACAATGTGCATGTGCAGGTACTAATAACGATAAATTAGATAATTTGCGAATTTTGCGTGACGAATATGAAAGTTATGATGCGATCTCAAAAGTATCGACAGTGTTTTCTACGCAATTTGCAAGAAAAGACTAAGAAAAGAGTTTTATTATTCTGCATATTCCAAATAACGTAGGGTTTGAGCCCTTAAATAACCAAAAGACCTAATTACCTAATATGACTCTAACTCTCCTAACCTAATCCAAACTAAGTTTACGGCTGCACAAATGACTTGTTACTCAATTAACTATGAAAACTAGGACTCTTTAACTTATAAAGCAAACCTAAACACGTCTATACTAACCTAACTATAATACTATATTTAATTAATAAGTAAATATCAACTAATCTAATAATTAAATAATATATCGCAACAAGTTATAGCACACGAACCGATGCATTCACGAAAGAAAGCAAAAAAGTGGTGGATCAAACATATATATATATATATATAACCGTACAATATATTGTTTGCATGCTAATACTCATACAAAGAAAGACACTAATTGGTGTTCCCATCATTCATCCAATGAAGAATGGATATTAAGATTTGCACCCGAAAGACAAAATTTATCTTTTTCCCGGTCCTCCTTTAACTTGGTCAAAGCCAGAGGGTTGCAGTCAACTAGTTCAATCTTCAATAGACGTTCATAAAATTTCATAGGGATTCTTTCTAATTTGTAGCAATGTTTTACGCTAAGAGTCTCCAGACTTTTGAAGCAACGATGATCTTCAAACGTCCACTGCACCAGATCAGTGTCCTCGATCAAAAGAAATCGAAGCTTTTGGAATTCATGCTGACGAACTTTCCATTTCGGTCCTCGAAAAGCGTAGCATGCATCTCAATTTTAGCTCCGTAAGGCTCTGCAAAAAAGAAATCTTGCTCATCTCTTCCCAAGGGTATCCAAATCCGCCGGTCAAAGTCAACTTTTTAAGGCTTGGATGGAAAGATCGAAAGAGAGCCGACAACCTTGGAATATGATTCTAAGGATTCACAATGACACATTTAAGTGTCTGTAGATTATGGAGATGGGAAATATGATCGAAGCAGCTAAACGGTTCGTCTACATCATCAGCGGGCCCCACTTCGATTCGGATACCTAGCTTCATTAAACTAGGTATTCTTTCAAAGACATCTCTGGTACAACTTTGAGAGCCCACGTCTAAAACTGTGTAGAGGTTTCCCAAGAAAGATTCTTGACGAGGGTGCGGTAGATCGCTCCCTGTGACTTGAAGATGAATCAATTCTTTCATATCCCATATCTCCGTAGGCATATACAAAGAATTCCCTTTAGATTTAACGATGCTCAAGTGTCGACGAACAATTAAGTAACGAAGGTTCCAAAGTCTGGATATGGAAGAAGGGATCTTTCCTTCGAATGTAAGGGCAAGGTACAAAAGCTGAATTAGATTAACTACTTCCAATGGGAACTCATAGAACCGAGCGGTTAGAGCATCGAGTATCCTAAGCAACCTGAAACCAAAACATACCTGTACTGGATATTCATGATATGGACCGGTACATAGGAGAGAACGTACCGTTGAAACAGAAGACATCTTATCATAAACATCTTTAATGGCAAATAAACTGTTATTGCGAATGCACAATCGACGGTGGCGTTCTAGACGTTCTTCTGCTAAACCATCGGCGAGACTATTCAAGGCATGGAAAAACTTGCTTTTCGTAGCTTCTTTGTTGCACAAATGCCAAAAGGGTGAATAAAGGCTGCAAGTCTTTATTCTTTTACGGAAGCCAATCTCGTGGAGCATGATAAGACTACTCGAATCGAGCTCATCCAATTTCGCCGGAGATTGATATCCAACACAAAATCCTTCCACATCCCAAATTTTGGCGAGCTTGGAGCGGGGAATCTCGTAGTTTTGAGGGAAAACTCCCATGTAGAGAAAGATTGGTTTCAATTCTTGAGATAAGTAGTCGTAGCTTGGATAGAGGACCTTGTACATTCGATCATACGCATCCACGTAAACCGAATGTCTTTTGTCGGCACCTACCTCGTTCCAGTACTCTGCGGTCTTGTCAGATTCGGATAGGATTTGGGCAACCTTAACGATCGTAAGAGGAAGACCTTCACAATTCTCAGCGATCTTCTTTCCGGCTTTCTCCAGCTCATTAGGGCAAGGCATTTCATCGAACACCTTGTGACGAAGTAGTTCCCAACTTTCTTTCTTATTCAGGAATCGTATCAAGCATTTGTCATTCGAAATTTGATAACTAAAATCACCATCTGCCATGTCTTTTAGCCTAGTTGTCACCACTAATTTACTTTCCGTGTATTCCTTTGTTAACAAAGTTTTGAAATATGACAAAAAATTGTAGTCCCATACATCATCCACCACGATGAAATATCGTTGACCCTTTAAACTTTGGTAAACCATTCTTCTCAAGCCATCCAATGACTCTGTAATTAGCACTTTTTTTTTATCATCATCATCATCATCATCAAAATCCTCGTGATGAGTCACTTGTTTTAGAATATCTAGCAAGACTCTTTCGAAGCGATATTTCGGGCCTACGGTCACGAAAGCCCGTTTGGTGCAAGTGCTCAAATTAAGTTAGTGGATCTTGAAAGAATTTCCTGGCAATAGTAGTCTTACCAATGCCCGCCATTCCATAGAGCGTGATTTGATTCCGATAAGGCAACGCAAGCAGACGTTTGATTTCGATTAATTGATCAGATAATCCAACCATCTGACCGGATGACTCATCATCATTATCTAAAGCTTTAATTTATCTTCTTCTTCTTCTTCTTCTTCTTCTTCTTCTTCTTCTTCTTCTTTGTATGGTGGAGAATTGTTTAGCTCGTAAATGTAAAGAGCCTTCATCTTCTTCACCTTTTCGATAAAGGAATCAGCATCTTGTTTCAGTTCATCATCCAGGTGGAGAGAGAACAACAATGGACATAGTTGTTGAGAATATTGAGACAGAAACTGAGGTGAAATATGGGATTCTATTACATCCTCAAATTCCTGTAATAATATTCTGATTTGTTCATCCAAAAGATTGATTCGTTTTCTGTTGAAGTTGCACCTGGTGTTGAAGCTGAAGCTGTCCAATTCTCTGAGTACATCTCCCATGGAAAAAAGCTGACTGTGGAGATCTAGTATGATATTCCTTGAACAAACATCATCTTCAAGTGAAATACGATTGGAGAATAAGAGGTGATGCAATGTATTCTGGAGTGAAATCGCAGCAGCATAAGCCATTTCTGAAATGGAAAGTTGTTTCTTTGCTGTTAGAAATTGTTGATGAAATTGTTGATGAAATAACTCAAGGGTAGTTAGTTGGTCTCATAATAAGTGGCTGAGGAGAGGAGATTAGGATAGCTTGCCGTTATTAATAGGCAATAAATTAATTAAAAAAAAAGAAAAAAAAAAGGGGTTACTTCCACTTTCCTCCCAGCCACTCTCGATTGCATTGATTTTCCCTGCACTTGAAAAATTATTTCAATGTGACCCTCGTCGGTAGTTCTCAGGCCTTTGACATAACACCGTTTGGTATAATGTCTGAAAATTACAAAAACGACACCCTTTGAATTAAAATAATTATTAAAAAACAAAAACAAAAACAAAAGAACAATTCAAGACAAGGGGCAAGAATCACATGGCGGCTCTACCACAAAAAACTCAATTTCGCAGCCTAGTCCACGACGGCAGTCACCAAAACCCCCTTTTTTTTTTGTTTTATTATTATATTATAATTACTTAAACTGAGAGGAATGGTTTTTTTTTTTTTTTTTTTCTACCTTAGACGAATCGGTGTTAAGGTCAAATGTCTGACAACTAACGGTGAGGGTCATATTGAGATAATTTTTCAAGTGCACGGGCTAAATTGATGCAATCGAGAGTGGGGAGTGAAAAGTGAAATTTGCCCATAAAAAAAGTACAAGTATAAATGGATTAAAATAATGGAAGAAAAGAAGAAAATTAAGTTCCCTTATGTTCCAAAAAAAATTGAAAATAGAAATTTCGATAACTGGAATGAAAAGAATATTTTTCCAAAATCAGAATTTTTCAGATCGAAACTTTTGGAATTCAGAAAATTAAAATTGGATCAGAAATCGAAATCGCGTACAAATTCCAATTTCAATTTCAAAAAAATCTGAATTTAAGGATATCAAAATGAAAATTATTTTTCCTGTTTTTTTCAAACCCATAAACTTTTGGATAAAAAATGGCGAAATACGAAAATTTTGTTAAAATTTTGTATGTTAATAACAAGGGTAAATTACAGCCGTCCCGCTGAGAGGTAAATTACAGCCGTCCCCCTGAGATATGGTTAAATTATGAAAAATACCCTCTTGTTTTGTTAATTATAACTACCCTCAACTGTGAACCTTCTTACACATTCATCTTTATGGTGTCAAATTCAACAGAATCTTCTAAGTTTCGTGAAATGTTCTCTATTTTGTACTCGTTTTGTGCAAAAATGCAGTTTATGATGCACCACAATCTGATATTTACAAGCCAAAAAACACATCATTATTTTGTTTCAAAATATATATGGAGCTAAAATGGGGGCATGTAAAAAGATTCATAATTGATGGGGTGATTGTAATTATCCAAACAAGAGAGAGTTTTTCGTAATTTAATCACCCCTTAGGGGTGGCTGTAATTTAAACTAATAACAATTGTCATTTTATATTTTGAATTCACATGTGTTTAATTTTTTATAATCTGGTCAATCAAGCCTATCAACACAGTAAGAACAAAAAAAAAATCCTTTAAAACACTGACCATATATAAGAAGCATGCAACTTAAAGCATATATATGTAACGATACGAGTTGCATTAATTCGTTTACATTCACACGAATTATAGTATCTCATTTAAACTTTGTCCATCTTCCATAACACAATCAATGATCTGCATTACATCAACTAAAACACCATTTCATGAGTCTTCAATCTATCTTCACCACATAGCAACAACCGATCGTGAAAAACATCGATACGCCCAGGGCCGGTCCGGCGTATTCGGGGGCCCTGGGCGAGAATAAAATTTGTATAACTAATAATACGGGAATTTAAGAGAAACGCCCCGATTTTTTTTTTAAACAAATGTTAGAGAAATATGTAATAAATTTTTGTTTGACTAAATAAAATATTAAAATTTTATGTCTACTTTAATACTAAATTTAAAAATAATAATAGAAGATCTTTTTTTAAATAAAATATTATGATTTTTTTAATAATAAAACAATAAATTTTTATATATAAAAAAATATATAATATATAAAAAATGAAAAATTGGGCCCCTCTAGCCAATTGGGCCCTGGGCGTGGGCCCTGCTCGCCCCACCCCAGGGCCGGCCCTGGATACGCCCGAAAGCGTCCGTCCCCGGTGGGCACTCTAATGCCGCTTCAAGAATCCGATGGTGGACCCCATGAGAATCGACCGAGTATCCGCCTTTGTGATCGTGGCCCGCCAAACAAGCCTTTACGCAACTATACCGATGAACCACATCCATCACTTCGTTATAGTTCCACAACAATGCTTCATTGGACGACGCGTCCGCATCCAACGGTAAATGGCACCCTATCACCACTTTTTGATCCAACTTCATTGCATCTCCAAGAACTCGATCAAGCCACTCGATTTGCTCTTTCCCAATGGCCCCGTTGAACATAAGGAACCTTCTATCCCGTCCGATAAGCCCGTTCGGAGAATTCTTGTCCGAATTAGGGTTTCGCTCTGCGAGAAAATTTACGGCCTTTTTAGTGTTCGGGTGGTCTTTAGGCCAACCGATTGCGCTCACGTCATATCCATCGAGGACTAAGAATCGAAACTCGGGAATAGGGGAAAACTCATAATACGCGAGAGAATTAGGGTTACGGATGTTTAGCAGTGGGAGTAGCTTGTCGCGGGGGAGGTTGTAAAGACAGTGGTTGACGATCATGTGATACGTGGGCCCGTTGAATAGACGAAATTCGTTGATGATTTTGTTGACGGAAGTTAGAGATTGGTCTTTAGGGCAAAACCCGTCAACGATGTCACCGAAGTTGATTGCGAATTTGAGATTTTGATGGTTCCAATTTTTGACTGCTCTTTGTAGCACGTGGAGACTGTGGCGCGGTAATAGCGTTGGACCCCGAGAAACGAGTGGCCGTCAGGAATATCGGCGTATTGGACATCGGATATTACTCCAAAGGAATGTAGAGGCTTGTTTTGATGTGAAGGGCCATTTACATGACCCATAGAAACACACACAAACCAATCTATACCGACAAAACGAATCCCATTAAGAGAGAGAGAGAGAGAGAGAGAGAGAGAGAGAGAGAGAGAGAGAGAGAGAGAGAGAGAGAGAGAGAGAGAGAGAGAGAGAGAGAGAGAGAGAGAGAGAGAGAGAGAGAGAGAGAGAGAGGAAAATAAATTGCAGTAAAATTTTCAATCATCTGAATTCTGAACAGACAGACAAAACAAATAGTATAAACAATTTCACTGCAGCATCACACAAATTAAATACGTAAAAATATGGAGAGAGAGAAACCCTCCGAAGGTAAAATTAGGGAAGGTAAATCCGTAAAACCGAACTGAAAATTCAGTACGCCAACATTTCATACCGTTATCGAACAGAATACACAATCTGGTTCGGTAAATAACCGAAATACATAAATTTTATATAAAAATATTTAAAAGGAGTGGTGGTTGTAATTACCTAAACAAGAGAGATTTTTTCATAATTTGGTCATACCTTAGGGGTGACCCTAATTTGCACTAATATATATATATATATATACGAGCTAATAGCAAAGATCCCCTGTGTTATTTCTAATTGTTCAAAAAGTCTTTGTGTTAAAAAAATTAACAAAAAACCCCCTATATTTTATTTTAAAAAACACAGAGCCCCTTATTTTAAAATTAGTTGTTGACTTACGTGAAATGACTCTAATATCCCTAGTTAGTTTATGATAATATTTTAATTTTAATAAAACCAAATAAAAGAAAATATAAAATTAATATAAAAAAAAAAAAAAAAAAAAAAAAAAAAATGGACTATATCTTCTTCCCATCACCCAACCCACCCAACTTTTCATACCATATCCGCTACCGCGCCACCTCATCCGCCGCCGCAGCACCACCAATTGAAACACATTCTTCTCCATTGAACTTTGGGTTATCGAGAATGGTGAGTTTCAAGTTTTGGGTTACCAAGAATGGTGAAGTTGAAGGTCAAAATCAAAATTTTTTCTTCCATTTTTTACATGGAAAAAGGGGCTTAAGCTCTATCATCTTCCCCTTGTCTTCTTACCTTTTAATTTTTCTGGATTTGCAACAAAACTGAGCTTGAGAATCTGGATTCGATTGATGTTTTTTACTGGAAAAAAATGGGTCTAGAAAGATGGCCTTTTTGAAAATAAGAAGGACTGAATTGAAAATTTTGAAAACTTCAATTTGGTGCTTAAAATTCTAGGCTAAGTCTGTAATTTTTAAGACTTCTAATATGAAGGATATTTAGGTCATTTCAGGTCGAAAAACACACCCCCAGACACACATACGGCGAGTGTAGCGCACGATAACCTGTCAAGGGCCTTTTTGGCTTTGACTAACTTTCTTAGGGGGTCCTTGCTAATTTTTTTAACATAGGGGTGTTTTCGGTAATTAGAGATTTCACGGGGTAGTTTTTGCAAAAAATCCATTTTAGCAATTCACTTCATAACTTAGTCATTTTAAATCCAATTTATACAAACTCTATATTAATATAACATAGCAGATTAAGAAAAGTACTGCTTCGGAATCTCGTATATTTTTTGAAAATTAATTTCAGATGAAAACACCTTGTAAAAATTTGAGCAAATGAATAGGTATTAAAGTTAATATTTAAGGTCTATAGTTTAGAACTACACAATCTACTATCTTAAAATTAAAATCCTCAAGCATAATACTTTTAAGAGTATATAATAAGTTGTAATAACAGTGCATATTATTAGTTTATCTATAATGTCTTTGTCGTTAACTATATATGTTTAGTAACTATTCATTAGGATTTTCAACTAACTACTAACTTCAACTTATCTGTAGTATTTTACATAGTTTTGTTGGTAACTGAATGGAGTCTCCACGGCTACTATTAACCAATTTTAAACATAATTTCAATTTTGACCCGCCACCACCGGAGACCGCCGGCCGCTGCCGTTGACCGCCGGAGACCGCCGGTCTCCGGCGTCGACATATTTTTTTTTTGAAATTTTTTTTTTTCCTAGAAAT